GGGCATAGGAGTGTCGTCCCTCCAGGGAAGTTAAATAAATGAAACTTTTTTTCTTTTTTTTAATAAAATAAAATAAAATAAAATAAAAAAAGCATCTGAATATAATTACGGTTCACTTCCTAAGTACTGGCCGAATTTCATTTATTCCTTTGCTTTTTCTTAGTATGGTATGTACCTTTCAGCAATCGCTCCGATGGCCAAAGCAGGGGTGATGGATGCAAACATACCTTGAAAGACACAAAATGCTAAATTAGGTAGTCCACTTAAAATTGAATCTTCTCTTCCAACATTCATAAGTAATGCATATTGATGATCACCTAAAAATGGACCTCCAGTTGTTGAAAAAGCTAGTGAAAACCCAATTAAAAACCATTGGATCATGACAACCGCCAATGAAACAATGGAAATTAATAACAATGAAAGCGCGTTCTTTTCATGAGCCATTCCAGAACTATATTCAATTTAAAGTCAATTAGAAACATTAAGAATAAAACGAGTTTTTTTTATATGGATATATGTTAATAATAGGTTTAGGGTATTCAGTTGTTCCGAAAAAAAAAAAAAAAATCAGATTCTATCCTTCCATCCAGAAGAAGTAGTAAAAGAAAAAAAAACCAGCAAGTAAGAATTTAAAGTAACGTTCACGGGTATACTGACTAAAAGTAACCTAAACCAGGAATCATGATAAAAACTAGGGCAGTCGAAATAAGGACAAACGCAACATTTCCTTCTTCTTGCATGGTCGCCATTGTAGAGAAAAGTTTAGATTGACTTCAAATAAAAGACAAATTCGAATTGCAGTGAATTATTAAGAGTTGAAAAAAAAAAAAAAAAAAAAAAAAAAGAGATTTCTCTTTACTTGAATAGAAAAACTGTTTTGAATTGTTTATTTTCTATTAAGAATTGAATAAGAAGTTTAAAGAGTGAAAAAATTAAATTTAAAAAGAAAAAAAATCACGATGAAATTGAAAAAAATAAAACACTTAACGCGAAAAATATTGCTTTAAATTTCATTCTTCCTTCTTTTTTTTTTTTTTTAAAAAAAAAGGAATAAAAGCGTGTGAAAAATGATTGAAAAGTATTAAGCCATCCGAGCATGAAAGTTGACACTTCATTGTCAAACTTTTATTAACAACCAATGTCAAAACATTTAACTTCTCATGCTTGCTTATTTTTTCTTCATTAAAAAATTACTTAGACTTAATTGAGATTCTTTTTATTTTTTAAAAAACTTCTATTTCCTACTTCTTTGATTTAACTTAAATTCATTGGAGGTTAAACCTTTATTTGTGTTTTATCTTCACAAAACCAAAAGCGCATGCAGAATCCTGTAGGGTGTGACCCCTTTCTTCATTTTGAGACCATCCCATCCATTGAGTTGGATGGTTACCTGTTTTTAAAAATTCATGGAAAGGATACATTCCTTGTACTAAGTTTCAAGCCTAACCAAAAAAAACGTGATTTCAACAAACTTCTTAAGATTTTCCGCTCGATCAAACAAACTTTCTTTGCATTCTTCGTTTTATGCTAAACTTGACAAAACGAGAATAAAAATTTCAATTTGTAAAGTTAGAAAATCCCCTTTTTAAATAAAAGTACGGTCTATGATGCAATAAAAAAATAGAATATCTCAAAACTAAAAGAGTCTTGACTTTAACATTAGTTAGAGTTGAAAATAAATAAATAAATCCTCTTTATTTACCAAAAAAAAAAAAAAAAAAAAAAAGAAAAACCCGCCAAACTCTTGCAAATTTATTAAGAATAAAACGAAACCCACAGACTGAATCCTCGTAAATGACTATTTTTCAGTTGAAAAAGCTAGATACGACAAGTTTAAAAATTAAAATTTAGAGTATCTTTTAAATACACACACCCTCCACAAAACCACGGGGTATGAAAAAAGAGGGTTACTTAATGCGAAGATCTATCTTAAAAATCGCTTTCGTTTTACTGTACTGACACCACCATGGGATTTTAGCATGCATCTCAATTGAAATTAGGTACGTACAAAAGGAGTATTAAATGAACTGTTGGAGAGATACACTCTATCCATGGTAGAGGCTTGCTGGTAAAGATTTTTTTTTTTCATTTATTTTCTTGAATATTGCAAGTGAACACTCTATTGTAAAGAGACACAGTTGTAGCTTTTTAAAACTCATATTTCCTTTTTTTTATTATTTTTAAGGGGAATTTCCGTCATCAATAAATAAATAAATATATATATATATAAAATTACTTACATCCTATTTGTAACAAAATTTAATAATAAACAAAACTAAATTAATTTAGCTATCTGTGAGCAACCCAGGCTCTATGCGGACATAGCTCAGTTGGTTAGAGTGGCAGTCTCATAATCTGCAGGTCGAGGGTTCGAGCCCCTCTGTCCGCATTTTTTTTTTTAAATTATAAATTTTTTTTTTGAATGGCGAATGTGCTATGATGACCATTTCCCCCTTCTTTTTTGTTTTTGTTTTTAAACACATTTATTCATCTTTTTTTTTTTTTTTTCCATCGATGAGTCGATAGGATTATTTCCACTGGTTCCAAAAAAGTGAGGCTGGTTTAAAAATTCATTATGGTGCCTTTGTATCTTTCGCAAGGATTTCCAAGACGGTGTGTAGACGATCAACGCATGGCAATCCACTTTCGTTTGATCCTCGTTGGACAAGGGTGGGTGCTTGGTGGAAGGATCACGTACCCACCACGATGAAGCCGTCGATGAAGAAGAAGGAAACAAAGGTTGACGGTAGCGTCGTCCTTGCGAGCTGGGGGTTGGAGAAGGAGTAGGGGAAGGAGGGGTGGGACACATGGCGATGTCTGTTTGGAGCATCCAAAGAAGGGTGGGTGCAATGAGTTGAAAAAACGACGTGGGGGTGGGGGTGGGGGTGGTGGTGGACGATGCTTTTTTGTGTTTTGTTTGAGTCAAGGAAGGGAAGGGGAATTTAGGAATGGGATCCAAGAGGTTCAAGAGGTTGTACGGATGCAAGTGACTGGCAAGGAAAGGGTGGGATAACGTGGTAAGCAAGGCCTGGGTACTAAATTTGGGGGTGTTAAATAAAAAGAGATCCACCGTGGGAACATAGATGGTCTTAAGACCCGGCGAAGTGGACGAGGAGGGTAGGACGGAAGGAAAGAACGGTAGGTTGAGTAGCGACAACGCGGTCAACGTAGCTAAACAACCCTGTAAGTGGGTCGAGAGAAGAAGAAATAGGAAATTAAAATAAAATAAGAGACCATTAAGAGAGTTAGTAGGACATCTAATAAATAACTTTTTTTTTTCGCTCTTCTTCTTCTTCTCCTTCAACCTGCTTCAACCCTCATATGGCTTCCGCAACGTTTCTTTTCCAATGCACACACACACACGTACACCCATGGAGTGCCCCACCACCCAAATTTTTGAAGGTCCTTTTCGCTGCGACGACACGGAAGCATTGTAAAAGCGATGAATCGAAGGGATCCATTGGTGAACCCAAGTATCTTGAAAGGCACGAAACCGATCAACAACGGTGTCGAGGACCGGAAACGTCGAGTGAGTTTGGTTAAAAACGAAGGTGTATGGGGTGGTGCGTTGGAAGAGGAGATCGGAAACCAACCGACGTTGTAAGGGAAGTGTGGTGGCACCTTTGAAGGCCAGCACGCACCAGTCGGGATGCAACAGTAAGTACCCCCATGTCTCCTCGTCTTTGGAAGGAGTCCAAGGTGAACGGGACACACGGGAGGACGTGGTCCATAAGTGAATTTGAGTGGTGTTGGAAGTGGAAAACCAAGGTAAATACGAACTACAGATAACCAAAAATAAATCAATTCAATAAATGGAACACGAATCTATGGGATCAAAGTAGTTTCTTAAGGACATACCCTTCCTCCTCCTCGTTACTTAAAGAGAGAGAAAAAAAAAAAAAAAAAAAAAAAAAATCCCCTCTTTTTTGTTCAGAGAAATGATCAATTTTTCATTGACATTGATGATTTTTTCATTGAATGGAGGAGACACTACTGAAAAAACAAAATGAAAAAAAAAAAAATTTAAAAGAGAAAATCAAATTCAACCAAGTTTGACGAAAAAGGAATGATTTTTTTTTTTTTTTTTTAGTTTTTATGAACAAAGAAAAAGGAGTTTTTCAAAATAAAAATACATTCATGGAATAGGTTCAAGAAAGGATGTTTATTTTATTTTTATTTTTTATGCACGTGATTCCATTGTTCTTTTTTTTTTTTTATTTTTTTTTTATTTTAAAAAATGTCAAAAAAAGGTCATTTTTTAAAATGAAGAAGAAAAAGAAGGAAAAAAAAAAAAAAAAAAATCAAAGTCCAAAGTCCAAAGTCCAGGGTTTTTTTTTGTATTTTCTAAGTGAAATGGAGATCCACATGGAACGAATGATGTGTTAAGTTTTGGTCAATACTTCTCATTCATCCATCTATTCTATTCTAAATAGAAAAAACAACAACAACAAAAAAAAAAACTAAATCCAAATTCAATTCAATTTTTTTTTTTCCATTCAAACACATCTGATCTTTATATTCATATATTCGCAGCATGAATTCACCCAACATGAACAACAATCTAAAATGTTTCAACACTGAATGAATCATCCTATTCATACTAAATAAAATAAACTAAAAAAAGGTAGTGAAATGAAGAACAAAGAAAAAGCAAAGAAAAAAAGGAATGGAAATGTTGTTATTTATTTCATTTTAGTTCATTCTTTTCATGTGCGGGGGTTTTAAATTCATTTTATTTTATTTTTACTTTCATCAAGTTAATTTAATACATAAATAAATGTGTTTATTCCCTTTTTCTTAGGCTTATGGTTTCATTTTCTTTTTCTTTTTCTTTTTCATAGTTTATCGCTCTCTCTCTTGGGTTGGTTTATTTTATTTTATGGGTTATTTTTAAAAGACATGCATTGGTTACCTTGCTTTTTTCAATTCTCACTGTTTATTCTATCTTGGTCACTTTTTGATCATGGAACCATGGCTTTAAGGTAACTCCAGTCACACAGAACATGTATTAATTAGAAGGAAGGGAAGAAAAGTCATTGAAACATAGAAATGAACTATCTCTCACCATTAAAAAAAAAAAAAAAAAAAAAAAAAAAGGAGAGAGAGAGAGTAAGGAATGGATAAAGGTGGGGGGGGACACACACGTGGTGTGTTTTTGTTTTTGTTTTTGTTTTCTGAACCTAACCAAAAAAAGTCGTTTTCTTTTTCTTTCTTCTTTTTGAAAAGAAACCCTCTTTCTTCATCTCTGTTTCTGGTGAAGAGTTGTAAGTTTTGGTCAAGGATCGAACTGTTTCATTTTATTTTTAAAACTTTTCTTTACTTGTTGGATGATGATGATGATGATGATTCTCTCTCTATCATATCCTTTCATCCCCTCTTTTTAATCTATATACTTTATTCGAGAGAGGATTTAAATTAAGGTGAAGGTGAGATGAATGATGGTTTGATATTTTAAAAGAAAATAACAAATTTCTTTTGGTTTTCATTCATTTTTTACTACTCCTTTTTTTTAATATGTCACGGGATATTCACATGCTCCTACATCGATTGATGGATGGATGGATGGATGGATGGATGGATTATTCTTTTGCTGAACAATGAAACTTCAGTTCTCATTTTTATTTTAGTTTATTTTTAGTTACACTAATAAAATTAAAATTCAAATAATAATCATAATCATAATCAAATAGAACCCGTCACCCTCGTCGTCTAGGTCATGCTGATCCTCCCCTTCTTACATGTTCTACTTGGTCTCGTGAACAGAGGGCCACCACTCCTCATTTTTTGGATTCGTTTCATTCCTTCTTTTTACCCATCTCATACACCTTCACCACCTTGCCTTTCGCTTTAGATGCTCAAGACGCCTCCTCTTCATCTTTGGTCACGCATCCACCCCTCTTCCCATCATCTCCATGCCCATGGGTTCACGTCATGTTGTGTTGGTCTTGGACTCATCCTCACGTTTGGACCACCGACATAGATCCCTTCATCATGAAGTGCGTGGGTTCATGCTTGTTCACGTTACAAACATCGGGAGAAGACCAAGACTTTACCCAACCAGTTCAGAAGGATGAGGGTTTGGACACTTACACCTGGTGGAGGACGTTGAAAACGTTACCATCACGGTCTTTCTTTCTTGAGTTACCTGGGTTGAATCGTCCATGTCCTTGCGTTATGGCACTCCCTGTCATGCACCCTCTCGACCTACCGAACCTAGGTTTCAGGTCTTCAGCTCTATCGTTTGGAAGAGGGATGGTGCCCAAGCTCGGTTTGGATGGACATGACAAAGGGGGTTCGGTCATTGACCCCCTACCTTCTCGACCACCCTCATCATGTCTTCTACCTTTGTCTCTTCTACCTACCCCTTTTTGGTGGTTGGACCCTCTTTGGACCACCACGTCAGACCTCCCCAACGAACGGGGGATCCCTGTGGTCAACGAACGCGCACAGAAACTACCTCTAAATGCACTTCGTTCTCCTTTCTTGATCCCACTCAATGCGTCGTTTCGGCATCAGGTCATTCAAGCTGCACATTTCGCGGCTGCTGCGTACGATAAGAATCAAACCCGATTAACCTCTTGGCAATGTGAAAAATGGTAATGTGTGCACTCGTTCATCCACCTTGGAAGTTTTCTTTCTCTCTCTCTCTCTCTCTATTTTTTTTTTTTTTTTTTTTTTTT